ACCTTGATTATTTTTTAAATATTTCCACTATATTTGAAATAAAACGGGCAAGGTGTTCAGCTTTTTTCAGATTAATAGTAACACGTCAAACGATACAAAAATCTTATAAACGAACATGCGCGTGTCTTAAACAATGTATAGCTTAAGCAATCAAGAAATGACACGTGATATATATGTATTAAAATTATTAATTATTAGTTACAACTAATAATTTAATTTGAATGAAAGATATATACAGTATGTAATTGTACAAAAAAAATGTTTAATAATTGAAACAAAATAATATAGTAATACGATAATACATGATCCCGTACATGTAATACATATTCCAATCTCCATCTATTCAAATACCGTGTTTTATGGTAGCACTAGTGACGTGTCCTCATTCGTGTCAAATTTTCAGGGGTTAAGAGTAAAGAATGTCTTTTTAAATATATAAGTTTGTTGAATATTTCATAAAAAATGTTAACAAAATTTGAAACAAAATCTGCTCGTGTAAAAGGATTATCATTTCATCCAAAACGCCCTTGGGTACTTGCAAGGTAAATAATAGATATTTTTTAAATCTCTTAGGTTTTATTTTACAAGATGATGAAAACATAACTTTATTAACAATTTTACATATGTTACAAAATGAAATTTTACACCTTTTTTTAGCAAATAACAAGATAAAGTATGAAAATATTGTTCATAAACTGTTTAGTTTGTAACTTTAATATTAGATTGTAATTATAAACATTTCTTTAATAATATTGAAGTTAAAAATTTTTTAATTATATTGTAACTATTAAATTATGATTTTATATGTTATAGTTTACACAATGGTGTTATACAATTATGGGACTATCGTATGTGTACTTTATTAGACAAATTTGATGAACATGATGGTCCTGTCCGTGGAATCTGCTTTCATAACCAGCAACCATTATTTGTATCTGGTGGTGATGACTACAAAATTAAAATGTGGAATTATAAACAAAGAAGATGTATTTTCACATTATTAGGTCATTTAGATTATATTAGAACAATTTTATTTCATCAAGAATATCCATGGATTTTAAGTGCATCAGATGATCAAACAATTCGTATATGGAATTGGCAGAGTCGTACTTGTATTTGTGTCTTGACTGGACACAATCATTATGTTATGTGTGCACAATTTCATCCTACTGAAGACATTATTGTATCAGCTTCTTTAGATCAAACTGTCAGAGTATGGGATATTTCTGGATTAAGAAAGAAAAATGTAGCTCCTGGTCCAGGAGGTCTAGAAGATCACTTAAAAAATCCTGGTGCTACAGATTTATTTGGTCAAGCTGATGCTGTTGTAAAACATGTTTTAGAAGGACATGATAGAGGTGTTAATTGGGCATGTTTCCATCCCACTTTGCCTCTAATTGCTTCTGGAGCTGATGATAGAATAATTAAAATGTGGAGAATGAATGATGCTAAAGCATGGGAAGTTGATACTTGTCGTGGACATTATAACAATGTCTCATGTGTTTTATTCCATCCTAGACAAGATTTAATACTTTCAAATTCAGAAGATAAAAGTATTCGCGTTTGGGACATGTCCAAACGTTCTTGTTTGCACACATTTAGAAGAGAACATGAAAGATTTTGGGTTCTTGCAGCACATCCTACTTTGAATCTTTTTGCTGCTGGACATGATGCTGGAATGATAATTTTCAAACTTGAAAGAGAACGACCAGCATATTCTGTATACGGAAATCTTCTTTATTATGTTAAAGAACGTTTCCTTAGAAAATTGGATTTTACCACTTCAAAAGATACATCTGTTATGCAAATACGTGGAGGTGGAAAAACACCTCCTTATAGCATGTCATATAATCAAGCTGAGAATGCTGTTTTAATTTGTACAAGATTTCCTAATAATATTGAAAATAGCACTTATGATTTATATATGATACCACGTGAAGGTGATTCAAACACTGATGCCGATACAAAACGCGCTTCAGGCGTTACCGCTATTTGGGTTGCTAGAAATCGCTTTGCTGTATTAGATAGAGCATATTCAGTACGTATTTAAAAAGAATTGCTATATTTAAATTGCTTAAGGATAATTAAATACCATTTCTTAATTTTGTGTTACAGTTAGTAATCAAGAATTTGAAAAACGAAGTTACGAAAAAGGTACAGATTCCAAACTGCGATGAAATATTCTATGCTGGCACAGGAATGCTTCTTTTACGCGATGCTGATCAAGTAACACTTTTCGATGTCCAACAAAAGAGAACATTAGCAGAAGTCAAAATCTCTAAATGCAGATATGTCGTTTGGTCTAGCGACATGTCTCATGTTGCTTTACTAGCGAAACATACAGTTAACATTTGTAATCGACGATTAGAATCCCTATGCTCCGTGCATGAAAATACTCGAGTGAAATCTGGAGCTTGGGATGATTCAGGAGTATTTATTTACACTACTAGCAATCATATTAAATACGCAATAAACAACGGTGATCATGGCATCATCCGTACATTAGATCTTCCGATATACGTAACGAGAGTTAAAGGGAACCAGGTTTATTGTTTAGACAGAGAATGCAGACCAAGAATCCTTCGTATAGATCCAACTGAATATAAATTTAAATTGGCATTGATTAATCGAAAGTATGAGGAAGTTTTGCATATGGTTCGTAATGCAAATCTCGTTGGTCAATCTATAATTGCATATTTGCAACAGAAAGGATATCCTGAAGTTGCTTTGCACTTTGTTAAAGATGAGAAAACTAGATTCGGTCTTGCACTGGAATGCGGAAATATTGAAGTCGCTTTAGAAGCAGCGAGATCTCTTGATCAGAAGTCCTGTTGGGAAAGTTTGGCTCAAGCTGCCTTATTGCAAGGCAATCATCAAGTTGTAGAAATGTGTTATCAGAGAACGAAGAATTTCGAAAAATTATCGTTCCTTTATCTCATTACTGGTAACTTGGAAAAATTACGTAAAATGATAAAAATTGCAGAAATTAGAAAAGATGTTTCTGGGCAATACCAGGGTAGCTTGTTGCTCGGCGATATTTGTGAACGCGCAAAAATATTACGGGTGCGTATTTCTATAATTTAATTGATATTTAATTTTTTCTTTTAGAATTTTTATTTTATTTTTTATATTATAGAATTCTGGCCAAGCTTCTTTGGCTTATGTAACTGAAAAAATCCACGGTATCTCGTCTGAAGAAGATGATATTCAATATAGTTCTATGAGTGAAGAACTTTCTGCCCTTGAAAAGGGAGCAGAATATCTCCAACCTCCAGTACCAATCCAACAAGCGGAAAACAACTGGCCATTGTTAACAGTATCGAAAGGTTTCTTCGAAGGTGCTATGATGTCACGAGGAAAGAGTCAAGTGGCTGCTGCTCTAGCTCCTGAAGAAGATAACGCTGTCCCTGCCGAAGGATGGGGCAATGACGAATTAGAAATGGACGATGAAGAAGGTGTTGAAACTGAAAATGCCCCTGAAGGTGAAGAAAGCGCTGGATGGGATGTTGAAGATGTAGATCTACCACCGGAACTTGATACTCCAGTCACTGCGGTAGAAGATGGTTACTATTCTCCACCAACGAAAGGAGTATTACCTACGCAACATTGGGTGAACAATTCTCAGCTAGTTGTAGATCATGTACTGGCTGGATCATTCGAAACTGCATTTAGATTATTGAACGATCAAGTTGGTGTGGTTGAATTTGAAGCATATCAAAATCTTTTCATGAATACTTTCTCTCGATCTAGAACATCGTTTGCTTCATTACCGAATATACCTTCGATGTATGGATATCCTCAAAGAAATTGGAAAGATACAAGTCCAAAAAGCGGTCTGCCTGCAGTTGGATTGCATCTTAGCGATTTAGTTCAGCGACTTCAAGTATGCTATCATTTGACAACGGGTGGAAAGTTCCCAGAAGCAATAGAAAAGCTTCAAGCTATTTTACTCAGTGTACCATTACTAGTTGTTGATACGAGACAAGACATTGTAGAAGCACAACAGTTGATTCAGATTTGCAGAGAATACATCTTAGGTTTGAAGATGGAAACTGAAAGGAAGAATCTACCTAAAGCTACTCTGGCTGAGCAAAAACGAATTTGTGAAATGGCAGCATACTTTACACATTGTAGTTTGCAACCTGTTCATCAGATTCTTACATTAAGGATAGCTGTAAATATGTTCTTCAAGTTGAAGAATTATAAAACCGCTGCTTCTTTTGCAAGAAGATTACTTGAATTAGGACCTAAACCAGAATTAGCACAGCAAGTTAGGAAGATTTTGCAGGTACATGTATTTTCTCGTATATCATTGAAATATGTAATTTAAAAGATGTTCAAGGCTTATATTTCTTTTCTTTCAGGCATGTGATAAAAATCCAGTGGATGAACATCAGTTGGCATATGATGAACACAATCCATTTTCATTATGTGCAAGCACATTTGTTCCAATTTACAGAGGAAAGCCGGAAGTCAAGTGTCCATTATGTGGTGCAACATACTTACCGCAATTTAAAGATACAGTATGTAAAGTCTGCGAAGTTGCATTAATTGGCAAACAATGTATTGGTTTAAGGATAAGTCCTGTTCAATTCCGATAATTTTTTTTATATATCCATACATTAATCAATGATAATCATAAGTTAATACAATATCGCTGATTTGTAATTTCTCAACTATATTAAATGTAAAAGGTATTATGTCATTCCAGAAAGTATTGTAAATATCATAAAACAAATATAAATGTATTCAAGTTTTTAAAAACATTTCCCTTAGTGATTTACAGAAAACAAACAGAAAAACAAGTTTTATTATGTTTATACTGTCATCATAATTTCATATTAAAATAGTGCATAAGAATTACATTTTAAAAATATACAACGAAATATATAATAAAATTAAAAACTAAAACTTTCAAAGATATCTTTTATTAAATGCATTTTTACTTTTTAATTAAGGCTAGTGTAGCATATTTTGAATTACAGTGTAATTCAAACTAAACTATTAAATAAATATAGTTAATGATCGAGAATGTAATTAGGGAAGCTACATCATTTTGATTGGCCACATAATCATATAGTTCTAAATGCAATAAACACTATATCAAATTTAAGGCGTATAAGCAATAGATAAACCTTGCACGTAGAAAGAGGTTCTTCATTGAACAATACTTATAAAAATTCCTAAATTAATGTCAGTTGGTAACAGATGCAATTGTGCAATGAAAGTTTTATGCAATAGTGTATTAAGAATATGGTATTTGCTTGAATGTATTGTAAATCTAAACGGCAGTACATTATTTTAGTAAATACTATAACTTTTTTATTACATATTTGTCATTAATAAACTTAATTATATTTTATAGAATTCGTATTGTGATCATCTAGGGAAATCTGGTTACATAGGGAAATCTTGTATTACATTGTTTTTCGTTCGTTTATACAATTTTCAAAAGAAACATAAAGTTGAACTTGTTTTACAAATGTTATAAAAAAATGTGTAAAATTGATTTCGACTGAAATTTACTATTAAAACTACCATTTAAGTACAGCAGAAATTGTGCAGCATTAAAATATATGTACAGTTGGATCATTGACGAGTACTGAGTGAGCACACTAGAAGATATGAAACCAGTGCCGTAAACATCGTGAACGTAAATATACGGTGTGCGTTCTGTGTATACGTGTTACGTTACAGACGTCTTCTAAATCGTGTAGAATTTTCATGATTCTTATCGAACAAAATTCTCCTTACTTTACGTTCATATGAGCCCTTTTATTAAGATTAGTTAATTAGTGACAAAGAATAGTTAAAGGTAGGTTATAATCAAGACGTACGATATTGACAGTGCTAAGAATATCAAGAAGTAGTAAGTTTTCGTTGGGTGTGTGAACCTCCAAAGTTATCCAAGTTGTCGAATCGTGAACATTGAAGGTACAGGAGTTTGAAGAAAAGGGCGCACTATCTCCGAAACCATCGGGCGTCCTACTACTCTAGGGGTAACACGGTGGGTGCATAGCTGCGCGGTATGAAAAAATGATGTGATCGATGGTCATCATGGCGGCACCCATGCTAAAGTGGAAGCGGATCACAAATCCGTCCGGACCCCAGCCAAGACCCAGACATGGACACAGGGCAGTTGCTCTTAAAGACCTCATGGTCGTTTTCGGCGGTGGAAACGAGGGCATTGTTGACGAGCTTCATGTCTATAACACGAGTAAGTTGCTTCCTTGCTGTGCGTCTTTCGCGCCGTTCTTGATGATTCCCGCGATCCAAGATGGCGACATACATTGACAAAACGGTCACCGGCCGGATCACCGTGAAAACCATGAATTTTGTTTATGTCAGATGCTTTATTATCATATATTTCATATATGCTAAATGTACCTTCACTATACATGTCTTTTTAAGTCTTGTTTGTTAAGCATTGGGGTCATTTCATATGTAGAATTAGTGCGATCTGTCATTTTTCATGTTTATACGCACGGGAGCGGCCATTGCTGTCTTATACGCCCCACCACGATTTGCAACGCGCCGCGTTTCCCGTCATTCCACGTTCACGCTTCACCTTTCCTTCTCTTTTTTCCTTCCGTTCCTATTTCTCCTCCCACTCTTTCATTTTAGGTTTTCACATCTTTACCGTATCATGAATGCGCACGGCATTTCTTTTACTATGTTGTCAACAGTTATACGCGTGCGTATTGTAATGAATATTTTGTACCTAATTTTGAAATGTTCCTCTTGATTATACTGCTTAACTTACATGTATTATTTATTACACAAAAACAATAAATATAATGCTGTATTTTAATAAAATTGATGTTAATAAATTGAAAGTTTATTTTAAACATAAAGAAACAAAAATTAGATTTAATAAGTTTCATATAATCTTTTAATTTTGTAGCTGCTTAATATTATTTTTCAAATTTAATTAAAATTGTTACAATTTTTATTTGTTAATAAAAATTATGTAAATTCCTTTAATTTCTATATACTTTCTTTCCTTTTTGTTTAACATGTGAATGATTAAGGATTTCTTCATTTAATATTTAATTCATCATAAATGTGTAATACACACTGAATATTTAAAGAAACTATTCATAAATTTTATTACTTTTTAATTTACCTTTTTTCTTTTGCAGCAACTAATCAATGGTTTGTACCATCGACAAAAGGTGATATTCCACCTGGCTGTGCTGCATATGGATTTGTTGTTGATGGGAGCCGTATTTTGGTCTTTGGTGGTATGGTAGAATATGGAAAGTACTCAGATGAGCTTTATGAACTTCAAGCAGTTAGATGGGAATGGAAAAAATTAAGACCTCGGCCACCAGAAAATGATCCTCCACCATGTCCTAGACTGGGGCATAGTTTTACCCTCATTGGCAATAGAGTCTTCCTTTTTGGAGGACTGGCTAATGATAGTGAGGATCACAAAAATAATATACCAAGATATTTGAATGATCTATATACCCTTGAACTACTTCCTAATGGAGGTACAGTTTGGGATGTACCAGAAACACATGGGCATGCACCACCACCCAGGGAATCTCATACTGGGGTGTCTTATACTGATAGTAAAACAGGAAAAACCTGTTTAGTGATTTATGGTGGTATGAGCGGTTGTCGTTTGGGTGATTTATGGTATCTTGATGTTGATTCAATGACTTGGCACAAACCAGTGGTTCATGGACCAATTCCATTACCACGTTCTCTTCACACTGCCACTTTAATTGGTCATCGAATGTACGTTTTTGGAGGATGGGTACCACTTGTTGTTGATGATGTTAAAGTTGCAACACATGAAAAAGAATGGAAATGCACAAATACATTGGCCTGCTTAAATATAGGTAAATTCATTTCATATTTGTTGACATTGCATGGTAATCATGTTAAAGAGGAAGCTGACTGATAATACTGTTTTAGAAACTTGGACCTGGGAGCAGTTAACAGTTGATACTCTGGAAGAAAATGTTCCTCGTGCTCGTGCTGGTCACTGCGCAATTGGAATGCATAATAAACTTTATGTGTGGTCTGGACGAGATGGATATCGCAAAGCTTGGAACAATCAGGTTAGGGTTAGTCTTTACAATTTGTTTTTATTTTGAGAATAGTTTTGTCTGTTATACAGTATGATTTACCTTTTATTCTTAGGTTTGTTGTAAAGATTTATGGTACCTCGAAGTCGGTAAGCCATCCGCACCATCTAAACTGAACTTAGTTAGGGCCAGTCTACAAGCATTGGAAATTCAATGGACACCAGTACCATCTGCACAATACTACATTCTTCAAATTCAGAAATGTAAACCCTCAGCGACAACTGGAACCTTTCCTACAGTTAGCACTCCAGCAAGTAACGCAACACCTACCACGACATCAGCAATGGTCACTCTCGCAACTGATTCCGCCACATCTTCGCCCGTTATTACAGCACCTGAGCTTCCACAAATTCCAACCACTGTTCGACCGTCCATACCTCCACAAACTCCAGTCCGAGTTCAAACAACTGTACAAAGCCCAGTTCAGAAACCAGTACCATCACAAAGCGTAACAAAACCATCGAGTCCAATGACACCAAGAGTAGCCGGAAATCTTATCAGAATTCGTTCTCCTTTAGTTACAACAACGCCAACAGTAACTACTACTACTACTGAACAAGTTGCAACAGTTAATACTACAGTGGCAGGTCAAACACCAGCTGCTATGTCAGGAATTGCTGCCTTAGCAGCTGCTGCTGCTGCTACTCCGAAAATAAGTATGAATAATGTACCAATTCTTCCACAAACTACAGCTAATACAATTAGGATGAAAAACGTCCAGCCCGGCCAACAAATACGTTTTGCTGCACCTGGAGCAACAGTATTGAGAACTGCTTCACCACAACAAAGTAAGCAAATTATCTTACAAAAACCAGGTCAAAATATATCTGGTCAACCTCAAATTGTACACCTTCTTAAAACTGGACAAGGAATGGTAACAACTGTGCCTAAAGTAAGTCTCATTCCTGGAAAGACTGTCCAAGCAACAGGTGCAAAGCCACTTAACCAGGGACCGACAATACTGAGATTAGTAAATCCAAATACTGTACAAGGATCTAAAATTCTTACGACTATGAAAACGTCTAGTATCGTTGCAATGAGCAAAGGGCAAAATATTAGTGGTAAACAAACAATAATGATTACTAAGCCTGGAGGCAATGGTGGGCTGGTTGGTCGTAATCAAATAATTGTAGTTACAACGGGGTCTGGTTTAAGAGCTGTGCAAGCTGTTACTACCTCTCAAGCTGGTAGTGGACAAGCGGGTAGCATTACAACACCTGTAAATGTTTTACCTCTGTCAGCTACTAATCACGTAACAAATCAGCAAGGAGTCAAAATGATCGTTGTTTCATCCGGAGCTATGGGAGGAGGAGCTACTGGAAAACCTATTACTATTACAGTTCCAGGCCAGGGTGGTGTTCCCAAAACAGTGACTATTGCCACTAAGGGAAGTCCGCAAGCTATCTTCAACCCTGGAAAAAGCCAGATTGTTACTATGCCACAAATGCAAAAAACGCCAGAGACAGTGACAGTGTCTGGTAAACCTGTAACGTTACAAATGT